CTGCTCACATGACTCTACTAAGTTAGCGATATTTCATGGTACAGTATAGGCACAAAACTCCCGACGCGTTGACGCTTATAGCTTATTATGGTCAATTTACTGTGAATATGCGACCATAATTATGAACCTGTTAAAAAGTGTTGGCGGAAACTTCACAAGAGTTATTTAATATTGGAATTAAATTATTTTACGGAAGTAGTGTTATTATTGACATAGACATATCAGACAAATATTCCAAGCTAGTTTTCATTCAAATGTAAATGTATCTATCAGGCCTATATCTCTGGATGCATTGTTCCGTGTGTTCTGTGTGTTTGTTCTGAATGTGATAGGAACGTCTTTAAACCTGCAATAAATACTATATCATGTGAATATATGACCCAATAACACCAAGTTGCCTACTCAGACCATCACGAATGAGCGCCCTTAACAAAATTGCACAGTATCTAAAGATGCAATTTTCCCAACAACTTTAAGTATGTACAATAAGTAAATTTCTGATTTTCACAACGCAAATGGAACACACATTCGAACCAGTTCATTAACCACGCAATAAGAGATTCATACACTGGTTCAATCGTGTAAAGAATGCAACCCCATGGTTGCTCATTAATACGTGTAAGCGTGTCATCGAGGTACCTGCAGTACGAGAATGATCTTTTGTCCTCACAATAAGAACGTTATCGCAAGAGTTGTTATCATTCTTTCTTTTGGAGAGCACACCGCTCAAGTCAATGTGACACCGCGTGCGTTGTCTGAGACAAGTATAAGTGCGGCAGGGGGTTGGGTGAAGATCCACTCCATATTCCTTCTATCGCTTCTAGACGTGTCTGCAGATTCGAAGTCGCCCAGTTGAAGCTGAGTTACCAACGGTAAGAGTTTTTCCTTTCTGATACGTCATCGTAAGTAGGAAATTGCTCGCCTGTTTTTGCTGAGGAAGGATTTACAATTATGTCCTTCTTTCGGCTGCTGATGCACTATAGCTGCGGCTGCTATTTGAATTACTATTACCTAATTAAATTGTCTTACTTTTGCCACGGCTTTATTTTTCCTCTACTAGCTGCAGTATTTTAGTTAGTAAAAGCATATAGGGAAGATTTAGTAGAAATCTCCAAAAATAGTGCTTTGCAGTAGTTGGCCAGTAGTGCTTTAGTAGAGCGATTTTTCACACTTGTGCGCATGATTTAAATTAACAATTTTCCTAAGGACGACAACGTGAAATGTGTGTAAGAACAAGAACGCCGACGAAGACACATCAAAATGCACCTTTCAGCGCTCAGTGGAGCGGTTAAGAATAAAACACGTCATGGTTCCGTATTTCTTGCTTGTTTAACACGACTGTTGCTGCGGCCGTCTTAGTTCTGTGCGTTGTAGTTGAGTGTTCATGGTCGGTTCGCCGATCAACAGCGAATTCGATTCCCGAGTGGAAGGCAGTGGAAGGCTGTTACAACAACGGTAGGCAAGTCAATCACGCAACATCTATATATATCAGTAGTAAAAATCACAAATTGTAAATCATTTATGATTATTTACTCTTTGTTTTATTACCTCTCCTGCCCATAATAATAGAGGAATTATTAAAAAAACGTACGCTGTTTAATTCATTTATGACTAACCATTTATTGATGATAATATATTGAGCGGTATATAAAATAATGGGCATTTATATGGCGTGTTTTCTACATTACATTCTTCAAATCAGTATAACAATGTATTTCGTGAAATCGTTTTCGCTGAAAAAATTTAACAAATTTAAATGTAGAGACGTTAACTTTAAATATATTATATGTTATCAATACTGTGTTGTAGGTTTTGTTAACCAATCAAACCTAAACCTAAACACGCCGCTACATGGTTCATCTTAGCATTACACGCACAATATCAGCACGAAGAAAGGTACAGATTGCTGACAGGTCTAGTCGTAAGAAATGCTGCCCACCTGAAAGCGTAATGTTGTACATGTAGGAGTATGAAGTGTGGAGTCAGAGGAGCGCCGTACGCAGGTCGTGTGGGAAAGCCAACAATGAAGAAGAGTGATGCGTCCACAACCTGCGCACAGGCCTCCGGCAAGCATCTACAGGCTGGGCATGTAACCATCTCGCTGACCTGCGTAGACGACGACGCTATACTGACATTATTGGAATAGTTAGTATGACAAACTTTATTTGACCTGATGGGGAAATTCGCATTCCGGCTTGGCTATTGGGCTTTCCCATTTTGAAACACTTTTTCTTGCGATAGATTTTTGCTATATAGAGTTCACGTGTGCAGTCTGAGGTAACTGATCTGGGGGTTTTCTCCGACGGTGTATTGACTCGCCCGAATCTCGATGCCCATATATATATATACATTATATAGTCGTTGCCACTTTAATTTACGTTTACTCTGAGTATATTTCAAGAAAGCGACACAACGTGCCTTTATCCAAGTCTATATGATTAGGTTTGTTATTAATACGATCTACTACCTGTTGATATGATAACTCGCTAGAAACATTTTATACGGCAATGACGCGTCCGTTGCTAAGCTGACCACGCTTGTTTTAAACAGCCGATTTTTCTCTTCGCTAGTGCTGCGTATATTTTGCTAATAATACGGGCAGACAGCAGAGCGTTTGTTCTAACAAGCTGAACGGTTACAAAGCTTGGTTCAGTAATAAAGCGAAAGGGACTACGTTTCTGAACCTTCCTCTTTATTATTGTTAATCTTCCCACCACCGTTGACTGGAGGGACAAGGGCTATGTTACTGAACATCAAGGATCAGGTATAGTTGGGCAACGTCAATTCACTTATTTCGCCGCCATGCATCTCAATATGGCATGGTCATTTGCGAATTCAACATAGGCTTTAGCAACAAATCACACAATCGATCCAATAGATCGAGTTTAAATTCGCTTATGTTCAACGCTTCAATGATTTTTAACCTTAAATATGATACGTACCTAAATAAAGTTTCTTATTTGTAAAACACGCCGTATGCTGTCACTTTAACACGTATAATATATCATAACTCGATATGTTTTTTTCGTTGGTGAAGAAACTCAAGCTATCCGTCTTATAGCTGTGTACATTCCATTCCATCGCAGCTATTAGATTTAATATTCTCTTAGCTTATTATTCATTTAGTTTAAGATTATTTTTCTTAGCAGGCAGCTGATTACGTACACGGGTCTAGCTAGCGTTGATATTGAGCTTCTGAATCTGACTAATGTATTACCAAGCATATCATAACAACAGCGTTTCAGTCATATTTTTGCTGGTTTATTTCTGAACTTTAGAAAACGTTGTGGTCATGACTGGGCGATTTTCTGCTACGGGTGCCATGGAGGGCGTCAGCATTTCAGAAGCAACAAGAGAACGCTCGTGTCTCTAAGTGAACCGAACCTCGTGATTGCTCCCCAGGCGGAGGGTCTATGTGGCTGCATCGCGTTGCGTGCCGACGTGCATGTGCGCACGTGCTTGCGTGCGGCTGGTGGTCTACGGTGCGTGCTTGGTGCGGTGTCGTGGCGTACTGGTGCGTTGCGTGCGTGCGTGCGTGACGTGCATAGGCGTAACGCGACGCCGGTGACGTTGAACCAAGTAATTTACGTTTCTCATTCGTGTATATCAACAGTGCTGTGTCATACACACACACAGACACACACACACAACACACACACACACACACACCACAACACACACACACACACAACACACACACACACACACACACACACACACACACACACACACACACACACACACACGCACACACACACACACACCACACACACACACACACACACACACACACACACACCACGGTGGTTCGATGACAGTTTAAACGAGAACGTAGAACGCGTTGTGTGAGATGTGCTTGGTCAGAGATCTCATGCGAATCATAGCAGATCTCAGTGTGACTGATCTGTTTCTACGGCGATGAGCAGGTTGCGGATACGGACGTGTAGATATGGTTGACAGAGCACGCAGCGCCGCCGGCCGGCGACCTTAGCATTAATAACGAGCGCACTGACACCTGACTAACAAGCTTTCCACAAAATGTGCTGCCACGCGCTCTGCACTAACCATAATGGTTGGCTAATAGATTATTTATTTATTCGTAATAATTTACGCGGTCAGTTACAGGCGATCTATTGCACGTAATCTGTTGTTTTCTTTTCGTGTACAGCGGAACCTTGGTTGCATATGGAAGGCCTCTGGGATTCTGGTTTCATGTATGTAGACGGATTGCAGGAGGGAGTAGACAAGAGGATTCTTAGTCATATGGAAAGGCAGTGGTTTAGAGTTTATTGGCACTGGCGAGTACACTTTGGCGTCTCCATGTGTCGGAATCGATTTGAAGTAAACTATTAGCAACCATCAATTTCACTGTGCTGTGTGATGCTAATGTGTGTCTTGCGTGCGTGCGTTGCGTCGCTTGCGTCGTGTGTAAGCGTGTGTGTGTGTGTGCGCTGTTGTGTGTGTGTGGTATGGTGTGCGTGTGCGTGTGACGTGTGCGTGTGCTGTCATGTGCGTGGGTGATGTGCGTGTGCGTGTGCTGTTGGCGTGTGGCGTGGGTGTGCGTTGTGCGTAGTGCGTGTGCGTGTGTGTGTGTGTGGTGTGTGGGGGTGTGCGTGTGCGTTGCTCGCCTGTGTGTGTGGTTGTGTGGTGCAAAGCAGATTAATACAGTTAATCAGTGGTTTTTACCGCTCACAATTGTAGGACGACAGTTGTAAATTCGATCCGAAGAATGTCGGGGCAACCGTAAAGAGCTTCACAGACATAGACAGTTGTAATGAGACGGCGCTGCAGGTGGCTGTTGCTACGGTCGGACCCATCTCCGTCGCCATCGATGCATCCGCGTCGTCGTTCCATGTATTTTGCTTAATTAACAAATTAAACATTTCCGAATCTTTTTTTATTCATCGGCTCAAAGGTGTTGTCGCACGCGCTATTCACAAGCAATGGGTATATAACACACGACAAGCCATTACTCGTAGGTTATTCTTACCAATGGTTCTTATATATTACGATTGAAAATGATACTTTTTTTTAATTTACACTTTCAAACTTGTTAACAATTCTGTTCGTATCTGCAATCGCCACGGTTCAGTACTGTTTTTAGCCTGTCAATCTAAATTGCGATATCATATATTTTTAGCTCTACGAATCCGGAGTGTATGACGAGCCAGGTTGTAGCTCTATATATTTGGACCACGGCGTACTGGCTGTTGGCTATGGAACGCTTGATGATAAAGACTATTGGCTTGTGAAGAACAGGTACGTTCGTTATGCGTCTACAAATCTACGCATGCAGTCCAAAAGCACCAGGCATATAACACAAACACACCAAGCCATCGCACGTAGGTTGATGTGATGTACTCAAATTGAAACTGTCAATATAATAGCAAGACAGAACAACTTAAAGACGCACCACGACTGTGCTGACATCTATGGACCGTGGTAAAGCAATGGTCGTTTGACGCGACAGAGCGTGTTACCATGATAGTAGCTACATACGTAGAGTGAAAACGAAGAAAAAATGTATTATTGATAACAAAATCAACTATTGAATGTATCTTACGAAGACATGGCAAATTAATATTGAACTTGAAGATTATCGCATAATGTAGGTAGGCCCTATGAGTGCATCTCCGAAACAGTACTTTTATACTATGTTACAGCTGGGGAGCAGACTGGGGAGACAATGGATACATTTACATGTCACGGAATAAGGATAACCAATGTGGAATTGCTACAAACGCCAGCTATCCAAATGTTTGAATCGGCGCATTTATGCAAATCTTACGTATAGATTTTGCCATAGCTGGTCCAGTAATCATTAGAATAAAACCCCGACGCCGAGGAAACGACAATAAATATGAACGATAACTATAGCGTTGGTATACCCTGCTTATCAATAATTATAGATGGGATCGATGTTAAAGTAAATATTTGATGTCTGGATTTCATGAAACCTTTTTAGATGTGATTTTAATTTCTAATTATCTCGTTGTAAATTTAATGTATTGGAAAGCATGACATTCCTAGGCGATATAAGCACGCATATATATATATCCAGGGGCAGATCCAGGGCTGAAGCTAGACAGTATTTTTCAGATTTTAAGGGCAAATCCCCCAAAAAGGGCACACCACCCCACAGTGGGCGCCGTTCGGTGCGGAAGCACATGGCGGGGGGTCTGCATGGGGGCCTCCCCCAGGAAATTTCAAAATTTCAAGGGTCCCTGGGCACAAAAATGAGCACCATTTGAGCACACATTTAGTCAAGCAGCAATAGCCAAAAACCATATGGAATTTTATTTCTGCTTCATTTTGCCTCCGCTTTGCATACCAGCTATTAATGCAGAATGATTCAAGCACTTCCCTTCTTTTTCAGATAGCAAAGCTAGTTTTGTTACCATGTAAATTTTTGATTTTGCTTCAAGTCCTGTCAATGAATCAGAAGAAAAAGAAAACAAATAAAGAATATAGCCAAATTCCATCAAATTGTTTTCTGTATTTTTTAGCGCAAAATTTTGAAGGGCACTTTGAAATCTAGACCGTATTTCCCAATACGGCAAATACGGTCTGAATCCGCCCCTGATATCGTCTAGGAATGTTCGTGCATACGTGTGTGCGTGCGCGCGTGCGCGCGTACGTGTGTGTGTATGTGTGTGGTTCATGTATGTGTATGTCCATCTTGCAGCTGGGTCGAGATCTGAAAAAGTGGGCTATCCTATATAAGGGCCCTACTTGTACTTACGTTAGCACTGTCATTGTGCAGAGTTTCGTGTACTGGATATAAATACAACTAATCGGTCTAAAGGTCTGCGTTGCCTTTTTGAACCTAATGTGCCTGGTATATGTATATATATATATATATATATAATAATGGTTTCTTATGTGATTTCTCTGCAAACAATATGCTATTCGTGTGCCTGATTACAATACTCGTTCGATGGATGATTACTTTATTACATGTTCGCTACTGTATAATCATGCTGCAATGTTATCCCCTTCTTGTTCATAGCAAGTTGACGGCTGCAATCCCCATTAATATTATTTGCCTGTAGGTTTCGTAGAATTTACTAGAGGTGGCGTTGTTGCGGGTGTAGACAATATTGCAAAACTTGTATTATTATAGATTTTAATGACAAATAAAGTAATTTCGTCTTATTTTATTAGTTCTTTTTTATATGAAATTTTATTTATTGTGTTTTTGGGAATCGTGTTTGTCACATTTAAACCATAGCAAATTAAGGCGATTACAAAACAGATGCGACACAATGATGGCAAAGGTTTGTGTCATGGACGAACACACGTATACTCTCGTTCGCACGCACGCACACATGTATGTGCGCACACACACCACTATGTAAAAATATTGAATTTACTGGCTGCTCATTTAGTATTAGTTTATTTAACAATTTTCTAGGATTTTTAATTTAGTAGCACATTCACATTATAGCAATTCATTGAGATTTAGCGCGCTCAAAGGTCATGGCATTTGATCAATTGTATAAGTCTCTACAAAGAGAAACCCGGTCACCAATGCTGTCGACAGAATGTGTCAGAGGCAACATCCTAATTCCATCACCGTGTGCAATCATGTGCAAGATTATAAATTATATGAACTAGTAATTATTCTATCATAAACTGGTTCTGTATACAACTAACCAGTATTATTTGAGGCGACGAATTTTATTGGTGTGATATCCGAATTATCTAGGACTGCTGGCTTATTTTGACAAAACCAAAAGCATAACACCAAGGAAGCACATCATACCTGCGCATATATGAAGTGTCATTAACAAACCCGAGATTTACTTATATAATTCTACTAAAAATGATACAGCCCCAATGAACCGACTTGATGGTTAGAGCAAATCTACGCCCATCTGGAATCCTATTGGATACTATTGGAGACTGCGCAGAGCTGACATCTGGTGGGAACATGCGTAACTACAATCGTAACCAACCAGCTACACAATTTATTACGCACAATGTCGAGTTTGTGTTTCCGTTAGGAAAGTGTAGCATACGTAATAGTAAAATTACATACATAAATGGGGGTTAGTCAATGTTGTGCAAGTTGAATCATTAAATTCTTTTTTTCCAATTCGTTGACGGAATATAATGTACCTCGGTAAGTTTACGATGGCTATACTTCATGTGTTCAAACTCAAGGATTAATAAATGCAAGTTCATTACAAGGACATTTCCTCGAAAACCTGAATAATTAAAATTATGTTAATAATGCAACGGGTGGGACCGGCTCTCATAAATATGCGAGATGGTACATGATGCGATGTGGCGTACAAAACGACCGCGTAGTCGCCACCGTATAGCTGCTGAGGTAATTTACATTGAAAAGCTTTCACGGATATATTATATATCGACACTGACCTGATCAAAATCACTGTTCATTATCGTAATCACTAAAGAATTAGTTAATAAATAGGCAGATTAGTCACAGTTTTAAAATTCAAAGCACGTTGATGAATACGTCACCGAAATATTTGGGCGGTAAATTATAGGGTCGACACTGCACCACCGAAAGCTGCATGATACGTTGTTGCACATTACTGCCTATTGTTCTCATTTCCTCGCTATTATAACTACGATAGTTACAAATAAAATAGACTCCTGATAAAATCACACCGGGATTCACGACCGGCACCAGCATTTAATAAATCTATTTACTATACACATCCTTCTCGTCAACAATTTACAAAGTTTCGTGTCTCGTTGCCCTTATACAAAGCTACATTTTGTTTTGCTGATATTCGATCCAGGTAATTCTCGATTGTAGCCTACAATTTTCGTTTTTCCTACTCATATATGAAACTATTCCATGCGACATTTTCATCCGCCGCCCCTCCCAAGAAATGCATTATTTCTAGTGCAAAATATAGGGGATCCGCGGAGTCGAACGACGCGAATCAATGGGCCGATGACTAGCGACGAGAAAGGATGACCGCAGTTGCTACGAGTGCTAGCTGCTGCTGCAAGTCGCGTCTGCGGCTCTCTCTCAACCAAGACACACACGCGCGCACACAGCTGCCACGTGCACGCGCTGCTGCAGCATTGTGGGTAACTCGTATACCCTTGCGCATGCGCGCAGGTGTGATCACGTGTGGCGGCACATCATCATTGATAAAACTGCCGTGGCGTGGAGCGCATTTTGAGTTCTAGCTGTGTCGGTGCAGTGCAAGACTTGCGTCGGGCCATTGCGTTGTCGGTTTTTATGCATTTCATATTTACACGCAACGTCACGAGTCCACGACCTGCGCGAGCGCACCACGTACGCACCCAGAACCACACGTTTTTTTGAAACCCGTTGACAGTGAAGCGTTCGTACGCCAGCGAAGGCAGCGGCCGCCGTCACGCGAGCAGTCCCCTTGCATCGAAGCGTTCCTGCTTCCCGTCAGCCGCCAGCCTAATCGCTGCTTTTCCCAACGAAATCATGAGCACTGGTACCACCGAACAACCAGCGATCATAATGTCGCAGAGTATGGACTCTGTGAGCACTAATGCCGAAGAGGAGGTAAGCTGAATTTATTTTTGCATGATCAGGTAATAACTTCTTAGCGAATCTTCAGTCGGTGTTAATTAAGTTGGTGACAGGTTGCTGCGCACCTAGGTAAAGGGTATTTTATTTATCAGGTTCTTACTATACGTTGTAGGAATGCGGCGTAAACGAACAGTCATGCGAATTGGCATGTAAAGCCGGGGTTTATCCCTGCAGTAACAAGAATTGCAGCTCATGATATGCCGATATAGTCAGGAGATGTTATTACACTGGTTATATATAACCAGTGCGCAAGTTATTTCATGAAATTCTGAAGTTTACTAATGGCAAAACAATTGGTGAAGAAATCGTCATGTCTCTCTGCATGAACTGCACTACTATTGCCTGAATTATGTACATGAATGCAAACTTTCTGGCATTTCTAGATAAAATTATTGGTTATGATGCAATGGTATATATTAAACTCGCCGTAAAATAAACCGATTGATGTTTCTAGTAGATGCACGCGTGATATCACACAAAATCCAAGCGATTTTTAACAGTATCTCAAATGTTGGGATTCTCGAATAGAGTAAAGTTGTTTACATGTGTTTGTTGGAGTATTGCCGTGCTGTGTGCTGCCTTATTTACGTACACATTTAGTGTCTTATACATATAGTACGCGTAGAACCGTGTAGGTCGGCATGAATTTCATACCTGCAGGCAGTAGTGCATCTGCACAAGTGCTACAGTTGTTGAAAGTAATAAATGTACATGACAAAGATAGCAGTGTGGTTTAAAATGCCAGCGGCAATGTTGTGAAAAGGTGAAAAGGTTTGGAGCACAGGCATTGGAGCGTTTCAATAAAATATAATGCTAAGTAAATACGAAATCTATTTACTACCAAAGTGTTAATGTTTCTCTACTCTCTTTCAGTTTCACCTATTATTGCTGACAATTTCCTGTAAATGCCGTCCAAATGCTCATCTGCAACACACTGTCACACGCTGGACGCCCGCACGCTAAGTGCTGCACACTGCACACATGGAACTATATATTAGTGTGTCAGTGTTGAGGGCAGCTAGCGTGCGGTGGTGTACTGTGGTGTTGCGAGATCGGAGCATTTACAGGTGATTATAGGCGAAATAGACGATAGAGAACACATTAAGACTTGGTTAGTAAATACATTTCGTGTTTATTTACCTTTTTTTATTGAGACGTTCCAAGTGCCTGTGTTTGGTGTTGCATGAAGCTGAACCACAGGATTAATTTTGCGTGGTTGTACTGTACAGAATGCGATTCCGCTGATGTTCAAATGCTTTCCGAAATGTGGGATTGTGCTATAGGTGTTACTTGTAAGATTAGGTCTGCAAATATTTTAAATTCATATGGCATTTCAGCATGTCTATTTCAATTAACTGCCCGGGCCGTGTTTGAAATAATTTTACGAGTCTGCTACCAACGATTTCTTAGTTGTTGATCTACTATTATATATATATATGATATATATATTATATATATATCATATATAATAACTATATGTCATATATATATATTATATATACTAGTACCTAGAAAACTCTACCTAGAAAACTGTGTTATTTCACACCAACAAGATTTTACTGCACAGATATGCA